ACAGGGAACTATATTCAAAACCTTATAATAGCCTATAATAAAAAGAATACATATAATATGTATAACTGAATAATTATGCTGTATACCAGCAATACCACAACACTTGTAAACTCACTATACTCAAATTTTAAAAAATGAAAAAACAAAATAAAAATAAAAGCAAAAAAAGAATACTCACTTTCTGCAATCCCTAGAACTGATTATGATGTTGCCACAAGATTAGAACTACACTGTTATTTAGAACAAGTTTTGGGGAGTGGGGGGTATAGCTCAGTGGTAGAATACATACTTAGCATGCACAATTCAATGGGTTCAATTCCCAATACCTCCATTTAAAAATAAATTAATTAATTAAATAAAAATAAAAAACAAAGCATAAGTAGAACACGTTTTAACTAAACAAGGATTTAACTTATAAATAATCTAAACTGTTTTCAGAGAGGCAAACAAGAGGACAGGGAAATTTCCCAGGATCAGATTCCACTTCACCCCAGGGCAACATAAGATACTCTGGCCAACAGTTATGTGTGGCAACTGCTTGGTGCTACTACCTTGTTCTTCTTTCCCCTGCCACCTCAGTTCAAAGGCTGATTGACAAAGAAGCAGTCTACCTTCAAGTTGAAGGTCTCAAAATCGACTCTTGTTGCCACCATAAGTTAACTGGTTCCTCAGAGAGTCAGTGAAAGTGTTGGTAACTGGAGAAAGAACACTAGGTATACCCTTAACATATAAAAACATTCCTGAATCCAACAAGTGCCCAATAATTTAATAATGTAATGCCTAACAGACTTACCCTAGTCCCCTAAACCAATACTGTTCAGAGTATTTTGGGTTAAGTTAGCATTTATTCTGACAGATGACCTACATGCCATTTCTACCAAGAAAATTGTTTTATTTAGAAATTAAATAATCAAGTGTAACATTGAGTAGAAGCTATAATGGCCACCTCCATATATTTACAAAGCAGTGAAATGTCCTTAGGGCAAAATTTGCAGTAGTTCTTTTTTCTACTTCAGGTCTCAGCACTATACTGAGTATCACTGGTATTTCAACAGAAACATGCTCTTCCTTGATTTTCCAAAGATCTAGTCCAGGGAACAGAAATTTGCCAGGAAGGATAAGTTGATGGGAAAGAAGTATCCTATCAATGTTTTTCTCTAAACATTTATTTAAAAAAATCATTATGTAGGCCACCTCTCTTGCCTTCTTAGATGGTCCACATTCTGACTATGGACTATGTATACCCTAAGGCCCCTTGTTTTGCCTTCAGAGACCACCTGCATTCTGCGGATGGAGTATGTATCTCCCTGAAAAAATTTACTTTCACTTAAAAAAAATCATTACA